TTCTGATATTTATATATTGAAAAATAAATACTGTTTAGGCATTTTAATTATTCATATATTACTGTGGCCTTTAATAATAATATAATGATAATAATAATAATAATAATAATAATAATAATAATAATAATAGTTCATTCTTATGTAGCGTAATTTACCTGTAGGCCTATAAGTTATTACAACTGTACTTTAATTGTTATCATTAATTACAATTTATAAAAATGATATATTTTTATCTTTTTTTTCAATCAGTCGAGTTCGCCTAAGTCGAATCTAATGGGATTGGCATAAAAAGTTCGAGTTTTATATATATTATACAGATTTCAATGCCCACAAAATCGAACATTTTCTTAAGTCCCAGACTCATTCCTATTCTTCTTTTAATAAAATACTTTTCGAAAACATGAACTCCCTATTCCAAATCTCGGACGATTTGTCCAATTCAGGACGGTAACACTCACTCGAAAAACCAGACGATAGTTAAATAGACATCGTTTAACGACAAGCATACCATACGCTGTGAAAACGAGACGCTTAGCTATACTCGCATTGCCATGGAGATTATCTGTTGATTAACACGACACACCAGTAGACATTTTGTTGGTTAATTATGAAGTGAAATTTACGCATTCCAATGTTTTAATAAGTGTATTTTCTTGCTTTTAATCCTTAAAAACCATTTGGAATCAACCTGTAATAAAGAGGGAACTCAACAAAGCAAGTTTCTACTGGTTACTTTTTCAGTAGACGTCTAATTCAAATTTGTTAGATTCGTCGGTGTAATTTTCAAATGCACCTCATTCATTCTCAAGACGCTTTTCAAAACATGTTGCTATTTTAATTACGGTCGGTACGGAGGAAATTTGTAGAGAATAAAATATAATTTGTTAGGTTTATTTAGATTTGACTTTAAAATATACCATGAGGGTTTCTTATTTGTTTTTTGTTTTGTTTTATAAATTTGTTTAATTAAAACATTCTTGAAAAAACCAGGGAGATGTGAAAGATTACACCGAGCTTGTTACTGTCACGCACTATAAAACTTTGGGCGATCTGACGTCATCACAGCCGAAGCAAATGTCTAGTCTGCATTGCCCAACGAAGAATGTGTGCTTGGAAAAACATAATTAGACCTAAAGAAATACACGCAAAAACAATATAAAAGTCGCATCAGTTTTATTGGTAATAATTAAATTTGCTGAGCAGTACAGCAAAACAACAGTTACTGTAAGTATTACTGTATTAAATAATGTGTTTAATTTGCGTAGGCTAGGCAGTCAAAAGAATCCAGGGCTTTGATAAATTAATTAAATAGCTAGGCCCTGACTACAACAATATTGTTCGAAATGGGTTCAGTACAAGTTTTACAAACAAAACTGGACGAAAAACTGAACATTGGAGCCGGTCTGGAGGGGTGTCTGTATTTTGAGAGTAGACTGCAACTTACGACATACGATCATGTGAGCCAAGTTCCACAGCGCGCTGTCTGAGATGTTAGTTTGACATGGCTAACTTGTTGCCGTACAACAAGGATTGAACTTCGTATTTTCCCACGGCTGTGTATTTTTCCCCACGTGCGCTACTAAATTTGGAACTTAGACTTGTGTGGTTGAAATTACTTTAAAATCGGCCTATCCGGACAGGAAAATTCCGTCGATATTTGTATTTCAGTATGATGTATCCAATTGTTGATGTAGATGATTGAGGAATTAGATCCTAATTAATTACATGTGTAAATGGTGATTTAAAAAGGAGATAGAACATACTACTAAAGTGGGTTTTAATTTCCAGAAGAACATTCAATAAAAGAAATAAAAATTCATTCTATTGGGCTACACTATACTTTTGCGAATGTGTATGTAATTATTGTTTTAGTTTATCTTTGCCTAAATATAGTTCGAGGGGCGTCACAAGATATTGAATAATAATAATAATAATAATAATAATAATATAGGCCTACCTAGTAAAAATTAGTTAATTTTTATTTTAATGCCAAATTGACGTTCCATACAATATCGCCAAAATTCAAGCGGCACAGTACAAAAGTCAAGTGGCGCAGTGCAAAAGTCAAGTGGCGCAGTGCTAACTCAAAATGTGTGTGCCACCATATTAGCTTTGCACTACGCCACTTTAGTTTTGCACTGCGCCACTTTAGTTTTGCACTGTGACACTTGACTTTTGCACTGCGATTGTAGTTTGTCCTTTTAGTGTGATATC